AGCAGGAAGCTGGGCAGACCTCAAAAATCTTTCACAGTCATCTTCTACCCTTCTCAAGTGCTTTGGTGCACTCCTGCACCTCTAGCATTCTTTTAATATCTTTAAAATTATTTAAAAACACCACACATGTTCCAGTCTAACAGGAACCACTACTGCTATTACTAGCTGCCTACGGCTAAGATGATTATTGTTATTACCATTATAATTATAAATTGGGGACACTGATGGTGATTAAAAAATGTGAGATCATTTCTATTAAATGTTAAACAGATTAAGCAGGTATAACTGAAAATATTTTCAGAGGTGCCTACTGATAAAGGTTTAGATTTCCTAAGCAACACTATTTATTGTCTTATTGACATTCCTAAACTTCTATTGCTCTTTTCTTATTACTTCAACAGCTATAGAACCTGCTATTCATACAGAATCTCTTGCACATGTCAGTTATACTTTCCTTGGATCTATATTAATTGGTATTAAATTAATTAAATTAAATTGCATTTCTGCGTGAAAATAACAGAACCACCAAAGATATAAACTAATAAGCAAAAACTAATACAGATGATTCCTCTATTTTTCTCAGAATTTTACTTTTGTGTTAAAAATTTTACAATGCAATATCAAATTAAAACAAAAATTAATTCTAAAAGAGGGAAATCAAGTTGAAGTCCAGAGGAAAATATGAGAGTTATGTAAGAAACTTTCCAAGTTAACTATGGTAACGGACCCACAATCTGAATGGTACACACAGTTTTTAAGCATTACTAAACCTCAGCTTTCTTGAATTTCTTTATATAATGTAATTATTCAAGCTCCAGTGAATCCTCATTAAAATGTCACTGCTAACATAACTAACTAAATTATTATATTGCTCATGGTTATACCTAATGGTTTTAAGTTAGAAATACTCATGCTACAGGTTATTTCATTTTTACTCTGTAAGTGTTCCCAGGCAAGACATGTGCATAACAACGGCAGTTGAATTTGTAAGAGCTCCAGACAGACTGTCAAACAGTGTTGAGCAGGACGGGTGTTGTGACCAATGTGCACTGAACAAAATCCGGCTAATGGTACCACTACTTCTGACAGTTAAAGCTGCAGGGGGAGCGCATTTCATACGGGAATGAGCTGCAACAGAGGGAAAAAGCAAGGGGCGGGGGTCAGGAAAGTTCAGGTATTTAGAAAGAGGGGGAAAGCACTGAAAACTTTATCAGGCTTAAGTAACTCAGGCAACATTTCCCCTATTCCCTTCACTCATTAAGTGCTAATCAGATAAACTCAGCATACCATAGCTAAACGGATTGCCGCTACAAAAGAAAACAATGAAAAGCGAACAAGCTAATCCAGCATCTTGCAGTATTTCCCTGCCCGTGCGTGACAAGAAAGAGGGCCTTAGCTTAAACCAGTTCAAAGGAAAACTTCTACTTACGGCTAAAATCTCTGGGGAGGGAAATCCCGGTAAACTTTGCAATGAATTAAAAATAAGCTAGCCTACTAACTGTAAATACATTTTATTTTTTCAGGGAAAAAATAAGAATGTCTTTCATGGGTTGGGTTTTGGTTTTTTTTCTCTATTTTATACTTTTGAACTGGATTAGGCAGGCAATATGAATTTTTTTTTTTTTTTGAGTTCTATGGCATTTCAGGTACTCATTTTGTTTCTAAAAAACAGGGGGTTGCTTTTTGTTTCGTTTTTCTTTTCATTAAAGAATTTCAGGCGTTTAAAATAATTTTCAAAGAGTTTAAAAAAACGAAGTAAACTTTATTTTCACTGATCCAAAGGGCAATATTAAGAAAGCGATCAGAGAAAGAGGAAGGCGCTAACTAGAAACGCTTCCATCTGGTTCTTGTCACTCAGTCCCGAGACCATCATGCCAGGG